TCTGTGAGTGCACATAAACAGCACAACTAAGGCCCTATTTACACATTTCATTCACGTGTTTCATATTCAGATAAAATCTAAATGAGAAACTTTGATTTGAACATATTTGCACTTTTTGTTTTATCCTTCAGTTTCCTAACGAGGGTAAACCTGCTAATGAGATAAGTTAATAAGATGAGTTATGGCAATAACATTTTAGCTAGCAACAGTTTAGCTAGCATTTGCTAACAATCCATAAAATAACAAACAAGCTGTGAATAAATACTAGATAAATAAATACTAATACTAAAGGGGTAACCTAATTTTTTTTGTTGTTCTGAATAGATGCTATTTTTCCATTATATTTCAATCATCTGAAAACATTAAAAGGTTTTTATTGGGTGTTACAGAGATCCCATACCATCATGGTATCAGAAAAGTTGCTACTTTACTTATTTTTGCTAAGAATAGCAACTTACTTGGCAAAAATTATCTTTATTATTCTTATTATTTTGCTATTCATTTTGCTAGTTTTTATTATATTTTTTCCCTTTCTGGGGAAGGCAAAAAAGCCCTAATCACACAGGGAGCCAATAAATGCGCAGACAGACAAATGCATTTTTGCACCTGCAAATGAACAGTTTGAATGTGATTTCAAGACACAGTCTTCTGATCCTAATTTGTTTCAGTGGAAATATCAAAATTAGGTTTGTAGCTGCTAACCTACTGCTCATAATACACTTCGGTCAGGTGGTGGCAGTGTGCACCAAAAAGCCAGTGTGGAAGCTGCTATCAATTTTAAATGAGCCACTAATGTGTTAGCTTTACTGCAATATACTAGATAATAGTACAATAGCAGAGATTATTAGTAATAGACAAAAATACAAGTGATATTGTTAGGAGATTACTGATCTGACTACTGACTTCAGCCTAAATTTTAGTCAAAGAGTAATCTTAATAACATCTAAAATCTAAATATAACCCCAACTCGTCACTATCATTGTATCAGAATGATTTTTAAAGGAAGAATTGAAGACATGAAGTTCAGCTTCATACTTGAAACAAACCGAGATCAGCAACAGGGTCATGTGTGCAACACAAAACCAAAAACACCCCAGCTGTACAAATACACTCGTACACCTCATGCATGTGAAATGGAAGCTGTTGATCAGTGTGAAGATCTATGGAGCGGACACGGGCAGGCTGCAGCATGCAGCTCTATGACTGCACATGAATCACAGCATGATAATCTGACTGCTGAACCTGAGCCAGATATCACTCACTCACAGACACACACACACACACAGAGCACTGTTGGGAGGACATGACGTGCTCCTAACAGTAGAGCCACCGAAACTTGAAAGGAGTGAGATCATTCATGCTTTAGTCACACATTCACATTGAAATTCCTGTCGCGTAGATGCATGCACATACGCAGTTCTATTTTATGCAGATGAACAGAATAATATCTATGATACAACCTGTCTAATCGATTTTTTTCCTTAAAAAGCACCAAAAAATGAGCCTTAATGAGAAAACCAAGGAAAAAAGGCACCAAACATGATGAAGAAGTAAAGCTTAGAAGTCTAAACATCCAACACATTCAAAAGACAAACTGTGTCAGCCCTTCATATCCTTCCACTGCTCAAAGATCTGACTCCCTACTTCATCAAACAGATCAACCCTCACACCAACTCCATGAATAACTCTTTCATAGCTTTCCAAATGCACTTAATACCTGTATCCGTTCTGATTAGCAGGGAAAGGCCTGGATTTATTTAAGATAAGCAGGAACATAATCTCTGCTGTTGTGACATTTTAATATTGTCCACTCTACATAAAGAGACATTATCGTGCTTTTTCTGATCAGAAATGTTCCAAAACATGTTACTCAAGAAATGGGTGGACATCACCATCATGGGTGAATATTCTACAGGTTGCTTTCCCAACATTTATTTTGAGATGTTTTGGTAGGAAAGGCGAATAACACACAGGAAAACCCTGCAGCAGCCTTGGGCACATAGGTGAGCAGTGAGCTACAGCACCGCCCTCCCTACATAGCTTTAGGCAATCCACCTTTGTCAGCAGTGCATTTCCAAATCATGTATTTTATTTCTGACAATCTATTTTTATTTCCCGTGTCAAGATAACATCTTTAAAATTCAGTTTTTGCATGTACATGTCACAGAAATCGTTACGAACATCAGCAAATTATAAACAGCAAACATGGAGAAAACTAGCAGCATCAGTCCTCTTGAGAGAAAAACAAACAGCGGTAACCAATCAAGAGGTTTGTGTGGACGTATTGTCTACAGGTGTGGTTGGTTTATAGTGTTCAATATTACAGGCTACATCTTTTACAGTTAAATTATGTCATTTAAACTCAGTTTTAAACACTGAACTTTGACTTTGCAGTTCATCTGCAATGATACAGCACTATAGACATGCTATGTGGGCTATTAACCAGAATATGCACAGACTGAAATGGACAGGACCATGTTTATCAAGGGTGCAGGTTATTTGTGATATCTCCTAAATTCCTGACTAATAGTCCTGTTTGAACTGCACCAATGTGACATGTCAGAGAGTAAACGGAAAGAAACGCGGAGCTGGAAAATTTATAACATCGCCAGCACGTCTGACTACAAATCTCGGCTGCAAAAGAACTATGCCATCTCCACATACACATTCATTCAAACAACATAGCACAAAGCTTTGTGGTTCACATATATCAGGAGAAAATCTGATACAGCACAAGCGTTTTCCAGGTTAAAATGGGCTTGTTAGGAGGTTAGACAGTAAAAGAAGGAGGGTTAGTAGATTAGGGAAAGAACTGGACAGACTGGATTTACCTCTACAGCTGCAACCACACACAGACACACAAAGGAGCAAACACCCACGCACCGAGATAAAGTCATCCAAACAGAGCTGTTCCACCAGTTTGAAGTTGGCTGTTCCAGTCGACTGCCAGCTGACTTTCTGACACTGCACTCTGTCATTTGGTAACTATCAACACAGTATTACTACAGCATGTTGGTCTTGTGACCAGAGAGTCACTGTTTACTTTTTAGGCTGAATGTCTACCACAGGTGTAGAGCAGGCTAAGCTGTTAGAACTAACTACTGACAGTTACATGAAAATATAAAAAAAAAATTATCAGCAAGGCAGCTAAAAATGTTATGTCAGCAAATTTCATTTTTTCCCTAAATTCTCTATTCTGCTGTCAATGAGAAGGTATTTATGCCGTATGACCACCAGGGGGAGCAGGAATCACAGCATCAGAACAAACTGAGGCTCTTGAAAAGTCAAAAATGTATACAGAACTGCCACATTTGTTTCTTCTTTCTTTGCATTTTTCCAGCCAAATACCACCGATGTTGTAAAATAAGAGAAGAAAAAAAAAATTTGAAATCAGTGTTTCAGGCAGCAGGTGCAAAACAGCTGCTCTCCCCAATGATCCCACCTGATGTGTAACCATGGCACCCACCACATAGTCATTGTCAGGTGTTTAGAGGTGTATAGCTGCCTGAAACACACCATGTCTCATCCTCGCACAAATGTCCACACGAGATCAAAAAGAATGCGCACGTCAAAGAGAAAGAAACAACTATGTCACCTAGTTTTGCAGACTTGCTCAACATCACAGTATCTGCTGTGGGAAGCGATCCGTTTACCATAAAACAGGGGGGCAAAACACAGTGTTGCTGAGAAAGATATAGTATCAGATTTCAGTGATAACGCTGGCTCCAGGGCATCAGACAGAGCAAGACAACAGAGCAGATAGGAATTAAAGATTACATATTCAATTGAAACCTGGATGATTCATAGCCTTTTTAATGTGTGGTGGCCCTGTTAGCTTTAGTGGAAGACATCTCTGAACACCGGATGTGAACAATCATCCACATGATGCCAACACCAGGATAAACTGCAGTGACTAACAGTAGGTGGCTAATGCCCTTGCGATGAATTGGAATATATTTTAAATTATTTTAAATTACTAACCATCTGCACCTGCTTGCAATATGATTTCATTTAATAATTGAAATGACCTGAAAAGTAGTGATTTTTATGGCACACATTAAAGCCAAAGAGCTAGTGACTCAGGTGTAGCCAGCACTGTTCCCATGGGAAGGAGGCAGTGGGGCTGTGGGTAATCGTTTACACTTGTCTAGTGGGTGGGGAGGGGTGGGTAGTGTGATGTCATAAAGCCTCATAGATTTTGCCCACACAATCTCCCAGTGCATCCGGTAAGAATTCCCAGGGCTTCACTTGTTCCACTGTGCTTGAAATTCTAGTAAATATATTAAAACTGAAACACAGTAATATAAGAAGTACATAAGCATTTACAGCCTTTGCTCAATACTTTGTTGAAGCACCTTTGAACATGATGCTACAAGCTTGGCACACCTGTTTTTGGGTAGTTTCTTCCATTCTTCTTTGCAGAAGAATTGGTTTTTAAATAACTTTGCAAGAATTCCATGCAATTTTTTTTCACTTTGTCAGTATGGGGTATTGTGTGCAGTATTCTGAGGTGAAAAATAATGTAACCCATTTTGGAATAAGGCTGTAACAGAACAAAATGTGGAAGAAGTGAATGCTTCCTGGATGCACTGAATATCAGTAAACACAGAAATATAGTGCCTCCTTGCACACAAAGTGGAGCCTTGAATGTAAAACAGTCTGCAAATATGAAATCTGCAGAGTACTTCCAACAGGCTGAACTGATTAAGCAGAGAACACGGTGAGCAGTTTACTGCTCTGCAAGGTTTAAGCAACGGTGACAGCAAAAACAGGCAGGTGTAATCATAAGCACATGTCAGTGAACCCTTTGTGGTACGGCCAAGGCTTTACGCACAAACATTTTAGAGTTCAGATAATACTTTTTTCTGCCTACAAGGAAAGGCTGAATGAAAATGAGAAGAGATAGAATAACAGGACAGTGTGGCAAATAAACAAATACAATGTGCAATCAGCTATGCAAACATATTCTTTCTCGCAATCTAACACCGACTTCGACTCACCCTATCTTTGTCATCCACCACATCGCACAGCATATCATCCTGGTCCAAAATACCACCATCGCCATGTTCCAACCTGTTCACCTGAACCCAGTAGCTGGGGTCCTAGGAGAGGAGAAAAAAAAGGAGTTAAAGTATAATCTGTGTAAAGAGATCACCTCGATTTGTACCATATACAATCAGGATTTGTAGCATTATGTACATAAAGCCATATATATTATAATAGGATTCCCAAACCAAATGAATTAGGAGTTTGTGACTGTAGCAATCAGCTGATCTGATCGCCATGTGGTTCATATCATGATCCAGTCAGCTGGCACACAGGAGCTCTGACATAGTTATGGATTGACATCATGATAGCGGTTATGAAAAATTATAATCCCCTGCTGGATGGCCTGCAAACTAAGCATATGGCTCACATAATTTTTCATGTCGATGTAGAAAAGGGAATGCATGTGATTGACAAGGATCATCCACCCTCTTTCCAGTCAATGAATTAAAAAAAAAACATTGCCCTTGTTTGCATATTTTAAAATATTTTTGCAGGATATCAGTATGTAAACAAAGAACCCGATAAAACAGCACGGTTTATATCTATAATCCTGCTTGCTTTTTTGTTTTGTTTTTTGTTGTTTTTCCTTTTCTTCACTTTGTCCAGTCCGAGAGTATGAGTCAGCATTGTTGTCTGAAAGCCCCAAAAGTGGAGCATTACAGCATTCACTATAACTGTGCACTTGACAGTCAGATAGCATTCATTAGCATTTTTATTTTGGGTTATTACAACCTAACGGACAACACCGGGAAGGAAGGAAGGAAAGAAGGAAGGAAGGAAGGAAAGAAAGAAAGAAAGAGTTAAAAAAGTAACCAATAATACAAGATATTTTTAGATCCAGCAGCAGCACAAGATAGTGTGCCTGTGGGTACACAGGTGTTCCTAAGGTCTCTCCAGTAGTGTCTAACAGTGGGTGTGTGGAGCCGCAACCCCGCACCCCAGGACCTGAAGCAGGCATGGAGGAGACTCAGGGCCCAGTCCTCCAGAGGCCCTCCAGCATGAGAGCCGCAAGCAGACCACGGCAGGGACAACCGTGGCCCCCATTCAGAGAAAAGCAATACTAAACTCAGATTATTCCTAACTATTAATATTATTATGCCTTTTTCAAATGCAGACCACCTCTCCTGCACTATTCACTGCATCAGAAGAATTATAGAAGCAGTTAGGTCGAGAACAGGGACTAAATTTCAAGCTGGATGAAAAATTGTATATTTATAATGTTTCTATTTTAAGTTTTTTTCAGTCCAAAGTAAAACTAATACCTAAAAGAGAAGGAACACTTGTTCTTTCAGCTTTCTTTTCAACTAGTAAAAAACTGTTGTTTCATTATGCTCCATAATTTAATGAAATACAACATCTGTGCACAGAGCATTGATAGAAATACAGAAGATTTGGTGTTTGGCAGCTCCACCATCCTCTAAAACTACAATCATCAAAACACGAAATGAGGGAAAATCTTTTGGAAGAATGGTGAAACGTGCATTTGCTCTGAGAGACTTCCAGACGCGTGGAGAATCAACGCCAGGGTGCACTGAAGCCGTTTCGGTGCCACGTGTTGGGCAGGCACCTTAGATTTATGTTAGTTTTAGCTTTAACTGCCAAGCTTTAGCTAGCTAGGCAGATGTCTCAAGAAGAACTCAGTTACTGCACTACTTGATTTTGACCTTGATTCAGCAGTTTTAACAATTATTATGCATTCCTATGGTTTTTGGCAATTTAAAGCTTGGCAAATGTAGTTACCTCATTTTGTCTGTACAGCACTGTGTAGGCTAACATGGAAACAAGCTATATAAAACAGCTTCACATGACATGACTGCGGGTTTGTGTACAAACAACCTGATGGAAGATTTCATGTTTATCTGTACTGGTTTAGCTTACTTTGAAATCAAAAGCTTTATTTGTCTTCTTCGATCCGTGTCACCCTCCCACATTTTGGCTTTGCCCAGTTCATAGCCTACAAGCACTAGAGCATGATAGCTCAGCCAGTCAGGAGGGTAAGGAGAAACCACAGAGCCCAGTGATCGTCCTTCCTCCTTCGCTACGTTATGAAAGAATCTTCTAACTCTTTTGTCTGGATTTTGTTCTCACCATTTCCTTCTCTCCGCTTCCCCACTTATGCATTCCCTCCAAACTGAGCTGTCTTAAGGACTGTGGTTAAATGCCTTCATGCACATCCTTGTTGTACTGAGCTCCAGTGCGGTACACCAGGGAAAATGGTCCAAATCGTGAGGGGAATGACTGTGTGGTATTTTTCCTTCCTTTTGAGGTTATTAAAAGGGAAAAGATGGCGAGTTCATCGAGTTGCTTCCAAATGACAAGACAAAAATACGTGAAGGCTTCAGAAGATAGTTGCTATTTTATTAATGTCCAACACAATAAAATCAGTTAGCCATTACAGAAAGCAAATATAAATGTATATATGGACTGTGTTTAAAATTAATCCTTGTGTAATAGTATAACAATAAAAGCAATTACAAAACACAAACTGGCTGCCAGCATTACAGAGCAATAAAGAAAAAATGTTGAAATGTTGTCATGCTGCTTGTGCTGTTCCAGACTTGTTGCTCAGATGGGATTATGGGGAAGAAACATAATTCTGAGAGAAGCTCAGCCGCACAACTTAATTCCAGAAATACTCTGAAGTGATGAGGAAAAGTCAGACAAGCAATTCAGATTTTACTTACAGATACACTCCAGCCTTGCATCACTGTTCTTTGGTTCATCAGAGCCACATCTCTTAATCTGTGTTTTAAAAAGGGTTTGGTGTAAATACTTCGATCTCAGCTAAACTCCAGCTATGAGATGGCCTCACTGCTTACCTACATGTAAGCAGTGAGAGCTCTTAAGAAGACACGGCTGGTCATGTTAACCGTTCAGCTCACGAAAAAAAACACAACCCACAACTAAATGGTGAAATCCCCTGTTTAACCTACTTCTTAGTATTACTTCTCTTCTTTCCTTCTGCAGCCCTGCGCCACAGCTGAGAATATACAGCACCGCATTAGCAACTTGAGCGTGGTACTGACGTATTTGGATTTAAACACCCTGTTATTTTTCCTTTAATGATGTCTGACAGTGTCAACGATCTGTCATGCCACTGAGCTTTTCGTGAGCCTTCCCTTAAACGCCATCACTTATACTTAAGATTTTCTGTGTTTTCTTTTTACCTCTAATGGAAAAACAAACAGTTACTTAAAGTGTAAAGACTGGTATGCAGTAAACTGGTATGCAGTAAACTGGTATGCCATCATGGACTTTCTGTAAGCGAACCACTAGCAATCCACTATGTACTTGAGCAAAGCAGTTTTATTATGTATATCCCATTTAAAAACATATGGGCTCGATCAGATTTTGAACTAGAGACCAGTACATTTGGACTGAGGACAATAAAAAAGGAGCAGGACCTTCTACAAAGAAAGCATTGTGAGCAAAGTAACAACAGTAACAACAGCTAAGGAGGACATCCACAGAGTTGATAAACTGATAGCACGCTCAGCAGTCAGCATCAGCTCATTTTCTTACCAAGCTCTCTGCAGCTAAATCAGCATGTCATCTCAGACTCGCTCTAGCATTATGTGATAACATTGTTATTCTGTTTCATTATATATTTTTCAGTACACATTTTTGTGTACTTAGACAAAGGTGATGAACGTTTTGCTACTAATTAGGTTCACTGGCAACAGATCAGTAACATGATATGATAGAAAAAAGGAGGCAGAGATTTTCAGGAATTTCAAATAAGTGTCCACAAACTGTCAAACAATTATCATATGATGTTCATTAATGTAAAATTGTGAAAACTTTGAATATCTCATCAGATACAGTACATAACATCAACATCTGAAAATATGGAGGTGCATTATGCCTATGGAATTGAAAGGTGCTTATCTTGAAAGGCACCATCAATCCTAAAAGGTATAAGCAGTTTTAGGAGAACATATGCTCCTGCTCAGATATCTTTATCTGAGAAGGCCTGCATATTTCTGCAAGACAATCCAAATCCCTTTATTGCATCTAGTACAACAGCATGCCTTCATAGTAGATGAGTGCCAGTGCTAGAGTGGCCTATCTGCAGCCCAGACCTTCAACCAAATGAAAATATTTGGCACGTCATAAAATAAAGAATACAACAGAGAAAGACTCAGGCCTGTTAAGCAGCTAAATTTTCTATACAATCAAAATGGGACAACTTTTCTCTTCCAAAAGGCAACTGGTCTTCCCGGTTCCCAAACATTTACGGACTGTTGTTAAAGGCGGTAAGCTTTCTATAACTTTCAGTCACAGGGTGATTGCACAGTTCATCTGGTGAGAAGCAAACTCTTTCCAAACAACGATGGTCCGGGTTAGACTGACTGTAATCACTCTCAGATAGATTGGCAAAGGTTTGCCGCCCAATTCAGAAACACAGACGGGCTGCCAAGAGTACCAACATGTTGCAATCAACCCAAGTCAGTCTGCACCAATTAGCAAAGTTTTTCTGCAACAAATCTCTTTGCAATAGGTGATCTGACTCAACTGGTTGTATTCGAGCTATGTTTGCATATCAGTACAAGGCTGGAGAGCACCTACGTCATAAGTTAAATTGCCATCCTGCAGTTTTTTTGTGGATGACTTTCTGAATTCCTGTTTCACATCCATGAGGTTCTGGGCGGATTCTGAATCTAAGTAGTCAATGTGAATCTCGCTTTAATCTGTGTATGTAGACGGTAAAAGATTTGCAACAGACAGCAGCATGTTTGTTATTTCCACCAATTTATCACAGTTAATCACCATATTATCTCCAACAGATTGGATGCAATTACCAACTTGACCTCATTCAATCACAAACTGATAGCAGACTAGATTGCAAGTTCATTGCCCAGTCGCAGTAGCTTCACTTTTGCCACTGTGTCCAACCTCTGTTCTCCTTGTGAAATCTGAGGCATGTATGTCAACAAAAAGCACAGTGAAAAATGCAAACAGGTAAGATTATTATTAACTTGTAGAAACCTGTGTATCATGTGTTGAATGGTTGCATGTTACATCACTGTCTTGGGAAGTGTGACGTCTTTTT